AGTGTCTAACAAATCACTCCAGAATCTCCCATTCAATTTAGATGAGTTTAGAGCTGGCGACTGTGAAAGCCATAGCATATAATTTACATTTTTATACTTATTAAACCATTGTGCCCATTTTTTTTCTCAGTTAGCCCATGTGCCCTTTGGATCTTGGAAGAGAACACTCCCAGCAGAATAGAAATGTTTAATCATAGGATTAAAGGTGATCAGTTGGACAAATTAATTTTTGATAAATTTGATATACCATTAATGAACTAAAAACATTCTAACTTCTACCATTGACCTTGAGAGAAAGGGAGGGTGTTATATCAGAGCATGTTGTAAGCAGAGAATTTGAAACATCTGCGCAACTGCCAGTCATTCTGGATTCATATGATTGGCTCATCTGCTGTTTTTTGTGTGGACCATGCCAGCATACTACATAACAGAGGGGCTAGTTTTTCCTTTAATTTTTCACCCCTCTGTATATATACGTAGAGATACATACATAGAGATAGACATAGGCAATTTATATATACTAAATGAGTGATATATATGTATATATATATATATATATATATATATATATATATATATATATATACATACATACATACATATATACACACACACTATATTCCTTAATTTTTTAACTAGTAAAATTATACTAATGAAACACTGTAATACACTCACTGGCCACTTTAAAGACCAGGCATTTTTTTTCCAATCTTCATCTGTCCAATTTCAATGATCCTGTGCCCACTGTAGCCACTGTAGAAATAGAGCCTGATGTGGTCTTCTGCTGTTGTAGCCCAAGGTTCAATGTGTTGTGAGTTCTTAGCTGCTTTTCTGCACACCATGGCTGTAAAGAGTGGTTATTTGAGTTACCACAGCCATCAGCTCGAACCAGTCTGACCATTCTCTTCTGATCTTTCTCATCAACAAGGAGTTTCCCAGAACTGCTCCTCACTATGTTTTTTTTTTGCACCATTCTGTATAAACTCTAGAGACTGTTGTGAGTCAAAATCCCAGGAGCTGAGCAGTTTCTGAAATTCTCAAACCAGCCTGTCTAGCACCAGCAACCAAGCCACAGTCAAAGTCACTGAGATTTCCCAGGTTTGATATGAACATTAACTGAAGCTCTTGACTTGGGTCTGCGTGATTGAGCAAGTGTACAGGTGTTCCTAATAACAGCCAGTGAGTATACATACACATTATATTGTTGTATTCCAAATGCAGTCATAACACCTTTGTTGTGTGAAGGTTGCTTCTTTAGTTTAGTTTCGGAGCTGCATATCCAAATTGGGTACATTTTATTTTTGGCCAAACTATTTCTTAATAATAGTGGCATTAATTTAAAGTTCACACTACCAGTAATGTGGTTTCTGATATTTGTAGAATGTTTTTTTGTCTTGTGATTGTATTCATTATATTCTGTAACTTATTTGAAACAAATCCTGGTACTTAGTAAATTTAAATAGCCAAAAATAAAATATAGAAATATAAAAAAATTATTTGCAGACATGTGCCTTTAGGGGGAGCTATTGTTTCAGCAGTAAAATACTATTATTCCATTACAATGCCTGTTGTTTACTACTGAATAATAACGAATAAATATATGAACTTCTGGAATATTATTGTCTGTTTCCATGCAGTTATTTTATTGTTGCATTGATTTATTTTTTATTATTGTTTAATTGATTTATTTTTAAACAGAGAAACATTACTATGACTGTTCTTATTTTCAGTGGAATCCTGCAGAGCAAAGTAATAAGTGCTAATAATAAATAAACACTGAAAGAAACATTAAATAGTAAAATTATAATACAATTCAGTGGGATTATGTGCAATTAACCCTACAAAAAAGAACAGAAGTTTGGGACTTGACCTTGTTGACCTTTTGACAGCCACTTGACATTTCACATATTTTACCCTTTCGTTCTGACCTTGTTGAGTTTGCAGTTCTAACTGTCATTTTTCTCTATACATGAGAAAACATTGTGGAAGTGCTTGTTCTTCGATGACTAGCTCTAAACCACTTCTTCCTTGCTACCCTCCCTTTCTGTGAAATTTTCTCTTTCGGCCTTTTATGGTCACTACATGAGGAACTGGCAGTAAAGCAGCTCATTCCAGTGCAGGCATTCCGGCCATTTGTAATTCTTGGAGTCTGGAAGCAGAGGCTTCAATCATGGCACTGGAACAGGTGTAGTACCAAAGCAGGGCATTCAGATCCTCAGAGAGTCTGTCAAGAGCAAGACCACAGTAAAAATCTATTACATTTTCCTGGCCTTGCACACAGTAAACAGGGACTTTCCTATCGGCTAGTTTTTCCTTTACACTGTCTGCTAAGAAAAGAAGACTGTAAGTGGTAAGTGCATACAATAACAAAGCAATAACCCCCCAAAAACTTAAAGATTTAAGACTATTAAATCAATTTTCTTAATGATTTCATACAACTTAGAATTAGATGAGAAAATTATAACTGTTGATTTAAATTAAAATCCTAATAATTTCTACAATAGTGATTTTTTTTATTTATTTAATTTTAATTTCTGAATTCTGGTCATTTTTTAAAATTTATTTATTTATTTATTATTTATTTATTTAGTTATTTATTTGGAGTGTATTCAATTCAATTATCCAAAACATCTGTACACTGCAAAATAATTAAAAAAGAAAAACTCATGTGGCACTGAAACCTTAAGTACAGCACTATATAAATTGAACAAATAAATAAATAAACAAACAAAAATAAACAGATAGACAGATAGATAGACAGACAGGCAGGCAGGCAGACAGACAGACAGACAGACACAGAGAGATATTTGAACAGCATATGAGAGATAAAGGCATCTCACACCTCATAACCTCCAGCTCAAAGCTGCCCCCCAGTGTTCACTGTAAGTCATTGCATACTGTTTTCATATTTGTTTGCTACCACACATAAACAGTTTTTGTTTTGTTTGTGATCTGAGGCTCAGCAGTGTTATTGTAGATGGAAGTAAAAACCCACATTGAAACAAAGGCTGAGCAGATGGCTTGGCAACACAGCACATGAATTTGTGTTATGTTCATGTTCCTGTGTGTGTGTGTGTGTGTGTGTGTGGTCTGCCCTAGCCTGTTTTAGGCGTAACCATGACAATTCAATTATGATTGGGTGAGTAGAAATTATATCAGCAAGCTTTAAGTTGAGGAGAAACGGAGATCATTTTAATAAAGACACATGTAAAATGATTTCTGAGTGCATGGAAAGTGGTGTGGTTCACATCAACTATCTTAATGATCTGGAATGTTTTAAACTGTAGTATTACAGAAATCAGTATGTGGTTTAGCCTAAATGTGTGGAAGCGTTCCACTATAGTTTGACACAGTATCTATCAGGACTAAAAGTTGGCTTCTGAAGCCTTTAGAAGATCAGAAAAACACTTGTGGCAGTTTGGAAAACCAAAGCAGAAATACTGAAAAGGCCACCCACCTCACTCTACAGTGAAGACAGTCTTCAGAATCAACATCACATCACGTTATACTGTGGGATCTACCATACTGTTGGTGTAGGCTCAGCATTATCTGCTCCATATGTAAACACTGAATGTAAGCAGTGTATTTTGGTTTGGTTATGACTGATAAACAGTACATGTGTGGGGAAAGTGCAACATTTAAAACTTTAAACTTTATATGAATAAAATACATTTTGAAGATGCAAAAGTGTGACAGTGAGAAATTCTAATTAATGATGTCAATTGTTATAAACCTGGCCTAATGATACAGAAGCTTACTTTTCCCCGCATAATTTTATATTCTGGGTGGCTTGAAGGTTTATTCTTTTACAGCATTCTAAAAATCACTGGAATTCACATATACACAATTCCATGTTCCACAACGATTTACAGATTAACACTGCCGAAGTTTGGGGAAGCAACCCCAAAAAACATTACCTGTGTTTTTTTTATTCCAGATATTTGTTCCTACTTGCAGATGCTGAACCACTTGAATAGTGCAGGTGTGAGAATTTTATGTGAGAATTTTTATTTTTAGTCCCTGGAGGACTAGTGGTTAGGCCTCAGCACTCTTACCGTTGCGGCCAGGGTTTGATTCCCTGCCAGGGAACCAACCCCAGCCACAGGGTTTCCATGCGACAGTGCATGCACAGTGTTGGTCCCAAGCCTGGATAAAATTAGGGAGGGCTGCATCAGGAAGGGCATCTGGCATAAAATCTGTGCCAAATCAAATATGAGGACCAGTTGTGCTGCGATTGTGCCCTGCGATGGGTTGGCACCCCTTCCCACGCCTTGTGTCCCCTGGGAGTCCCCCTGGGATAGGTTCCAGGCTCCCCTGCAACCCTGTGTAGGAAAAGAGAATGGATGGGTAGCCTTGGTGTTATGTCCATTATGCGACTGGCTTCTTTCTTGCTTTTCAGTGAACTCATTTAGTAAAACGCCAAATTCCAGCTGTTTAACAAGCTCCAACATAATGGCCAGCATTGACAGCAAATTGAGTCTTCTTTGGACCATTTTAGTTAGGAGTTTGTTTTTAATCCAACCCATTAGGGCAGGTGTCTTCAATCTTGTCCACAAGGGTCTGATGTGGCTGCAGGCTTTCATTCCAAGCAGGCAGGAGTCACACCTGTTTCCGCTTGTTTAACAGTTCACCTTGGGCTCCAATCAACTATCACGTGTGCCTCCTATTTGGCTGGAATGAAAGCCTGCAGCCACACCAGCCCTTTGTGGATAAGATTGAAGACCCCTGCATTAGGGATGATGAACCTTCTCTGGCTTCTCTTTCATTTAAAGTTTTCTTTTCATCAACACACTTATTCTGCATTTAAGGATGTCCATGTTTTTTGATGTAGGTGTTGTGTGTGATTTAACATAATCGTCAATCAGTCTAATCATTCAGCTTAAATCTATGCTTTTCAAGGGCGCCCTGGTGGCCAGGGCCCCTGAGCATCTGGCCTATAGGCCTGCGCAATGATCCAGCCCTGACGATTCCACTACCTATTTTTTTAAAGGACTACCATGATAACCCCATGTTTGAAACAAAACTGTAAGTACATCATTAGTAGCCAATAGCGCCCTACATGAAGCTGGCTATTTATATTGCTTTAATGCCTTGTAACTGTTTTTAGCCAGACTAAGATGTAGCAAGATGTAACACTGGAGTGAGCTTTGACTCTTGCTGTGATGAAACATGTAAGGCGAGAGTTGTGAAGATGCCATGGTGGGTGGTAGTATTGGTCAAAGTAGCAAAGCTGTAAGTTTAAATCAGTTTTTTGAATGTAAATGTGGTAGTGTTCATTTTAAGATCTAGTAGCTAAATATTAGTGATACTATTTTATCAGCTGTACATTATTTCGTTTTCTTAGCATAACCTACACAATATTTACAGTATTTACTTCTTTAGATGAGATCTTCATTGGACACTTTCATAAAACACTAAGCCGACTGTTAGTTTTGTTTTTTTTCCAGAAGCACTTCTGATGAAACGTAAACAAGGCTTATTTGGTTAAGGACTTAACATGGGACAGGGGGTTCTATAATAACAATATATAATTTAGTCAGTGTCTAATAAAGGGTGGCATAGTGTGTGCTTGCCACAAAGCTTGTCTCAGCCTGTCTGCAGATGGCTGACTATAGACCTTTTAAAGCTGTATCTTGGAATGCATACTGTATATGAAATTGAGAGAAGCTCTGAGTGGGAGTGTATTTAAATCCATTGATGGAAATGTCAATCCATCCATCCATTTGTCCATCCATCCACCACACTTTTGTACTGGTATTACTGGTAATTCCTTAAGTAAGTCCATGAAGCTTATATATCCTGTGTGAAATTTGCTGGGAAGATAGATAATAAGAAGTCAGTGCAGATGCAATGATGGAAAGAAACAGAGAGAACAAGAGAGGGAAAAAATAAAGATTAAGAAAAATAATTAATTTTTCATGTGCAGTGCAGAAAGAAACAGTTTCCATCAGAAGAATATGTTCTACATTTGACTGTAGAAAAATGCTCACCACTCTCGGAATTCAGCAAGAATTTTTATGGGGATTTATTCTAATCCTGACACATAAATCAGAACTGAATGCATCAAAGAGCAAAAATTTTTATGGAGCAAAATATGGAAATGTCTAGCCTTACATTTGAGGACTATACACACTATTACTGGTTACATGAAAGTGATTGGTTTGGAGTGAACTCCCAGGACCTGTTTGCTCACTCTCATAACTACATACTTTTCCTATTAGTTTCACTTTATAATTTACAATATAGTTGACTATTATCTGAACAATTCATAGTATTTACTAAACAATGTGTTAAGATGAGTAGTTAAACAATAAGCTGGGACTTTAAGTGGTTAAACAATAAACAGTAAACAAGGGCAATCTTTCTGTGATCATAATGCAAAAGCAAAAATAAGGCATGTGTGGGCAGCACAAATAGTTTTGATATTTTTATGAACAGCACAGGCGGTAACCTGGCGAGGAGTGCTGGAATTGTAAAAAGGGTTTGGGGTTAGAAGAAGTACATTATTATTAGGTGTGGTTAGGCATGCTGCTGTGATATACAATCAAATCGCTTTCTTTCACTTACTTTAAAAACCAAGTGTGTGCTGGTGACTCATAGTGACTAATAACAATTCGAATTCAGTTACAGATTTCAAACTGACATTTTAGTGGGTGAAATAACAGATAGAGATTTTTACAAATGCATTTTCTTCTCATACACTTTTGTGGGTGTTTCGTTCATATGAGCCTATAGAACACAGCATTTATGTTGGTGTTATGCAATTCCTCAACTCTATGATTTTAATAAATTTATTGACTCATTTATGTAATTACTTTTGTTAGACATTTTATTGAGTCTGTTATTTACATGGGTGGGACAGTGGCTCAGTGGATAGCATTGCCACCTCAAAACTCCCTACTCCCTACTGGTTGCTATCTGGGGTGGAGTTTTCGTGTTCTCCCCATGTCCGTGTGGGTTTCATCTGGGTTTTCAATTTCCTCCACTGTACAAAAATTAAAGTCCAAGAGTCCAAGAGTTAAAGTATACACAATGCATTGCAACAATTCAGAACATTCAGCATTCATAGCATTTGATAGATCCCCTCTCTCAGGAAGCTGTTACATATTCAGGCATGTTCTTATACATTCGCTGGTATGTTTTGAACACTGAATGCTTAGACATCTGTCCTGGCACAATTGACTTGTATTGGGAAAAATGCTGGCCTGTAATATTTGTTGAAGTGTGAATATTCACTAGATAGATAGATAGATGTGCACACTTTCTCCTCCAGCACTGATGAAAAGTGATTTGAGGATGAAGTGACCAGGCATTATACCAGCCAGACTAAATCATCCGTGAACTCAGGCACACTGACAATTTTGCTGTTTTTTCACACAAACATTTTTTTCCCCTTTGAGGATAGGAATCTCTCTACGTCAGCCATTAATTCCACAGACAGGGGGAGGAATCTCTAATTGGATACCTCAGCTCTGAGTTTGGCTTGGCCACATTCTCTTGAGAAAGAAGAAACAGGTCTAATCCCACTTGATACTGTTATCCTAAAGTGAAATAGAAAATATGAAAATATGAAATTCCAAAAAGTTTGTGTTCAACTTGTGCCAGCGTTCTTTTCAGATGACAGGCCCTTAACAAGATGTTTTTTTTTCAAAATGCACCAGGATTTTGTCATAGATTTCCTCAACCAGGCATATTTAACTTTCACCTGAAAGCAATGTTGACAGTGATTTGTTCTTTTCCTAATTAATTGCTCTCTGTAATTCTGCATATACAGTCAGGTTCGGACATATTTGGACAATGACAGAGTTTTTGTGATTTTGCCTTTATACAACATCACAATGGATTTGAAATAAACCAGTCAAGATGTGATCAAAGTGTAGACTTTCAGCTTTATTTTAAGAGGTTCCACAAAAATATGGCATTTACCATTTAGGAATTACAGCCATTTTAAGCAAAGTACTTCCATTTTCAGGGGCTCAAAGGTATTTGGACAATTGACTGACAAGAAATTAATTGACCAGGTGCGGTCCATTCCCTTATTACTTCAAGACAAATGAAGCAGATAAAAGATCTGGAGTTGATATCAGGTATTGAGTTGGCATTTGGCAGCTGTTCAACTGGAGCTACCAATATGAAGTCCAAGGAGATCTCAATCAAGTGAAGGAGGCCATCATTAGGCTGAAAAACAACATAATTGTAAATATAACCATAATTTTAATACTTGGATGAAAATCCTTTGCAGTCAAAGACTGCCTGAAGTCTGCAGCCCATGTTCTCAAAACTCAAATTCTGAGTTTCCTCCATGGAGATGCTTTGCCAGGCCTTCACTGCAGCCACCTTCAGTTGCTGCAGTGAAAAAAAATCACAAAAACTCTGTCATTGTCCAAATACTTCTGGACCTGATTGTACATCTGTTCTGTTTCATGGACTGTTTATGTGACCTACATCATTGTTATTGGATTGTTGACTTGCAGGTGTCTTGGTATTTCACCTGTTTGAGATCTGGACTGAGGAACAAAATCACATGTAATGTGGACTTTGGCCAAAATCTTTTCAATTACATAAATAATATTTTTGGAATGTTAAAATATGAAAACATCACTTGTTGAACAGATGTGGCCTTGTACAAATTAATAGCATTACAAACAACTGTCAAATGTTTTCAAACAAAAATCCCTCTAAGATCATGTCACAGGTATGTTTTGAAAAGGGCTGAATAATTAATTTGTGGATTTTCCTTGGTTTTATGCAACAAAAAATGAAAAATCTAGATGTGATAAACAAATATATCAGTAAGTAATTTGGCATGTCGATGAAGACTTGATTTAGTGTGAATGATATGACTGAGGTCAGCTTTACTCATTTACTCATTAATTTTCCTCAAATGACCAAGGAGTTGAATAAATGAATCTGGAATAAAAATGGATTTCAGGGTTATATGATCAACATCAATAGCAATAGGAATGCATATTTTTCAGAATTAGACTTATAGGAACTTGCAGAATAAGCTGTTATGTAAATTATTCCAAGAAAACTCCTTTTTTGTTTCATTCCAAATCAAAATGATAATGTGCCTGATGTGAGTCAAG